TAGCCACCAACCATCCACCACCCACCAAACAACCACCAACCAGTCACCAACCAGTCACAAACCAGTCGCCACCCAGTCACCCACCAGCCACCAACCACCAAACAACCACCAAACAGTCACCAACCAGCCAAAAAACCAGCCATCAAACAACCACCAAACAACCACCAAACAGTTACAAACCAGTCACCAACCAGTCACCCACCAACCACCAAACAACCACCAACCAGCCACCATACACAGTAACGTAATCCCACAAACCTTGACTGTTTGAGTAGATGATAGGACATTATCTGGGCCTATCCCTGATCTCGGCTCAGACATGACTCTTCTGTTTAAACGCAGTGGCGTGAGTAAGGGCCGCAAGCGGGGGACCAATAATTTTGGAACTATGGCCACCGCCCTGTCAGCGCATGCAAACATATGGCGTTCCATCTGACCATTCCTCACGGCTTAAGGGCAGGGGTCTCAAACTCACTGTATCTGGTTGAGGCCGGGACTAAAATGAAGAGGCCAGATTTTAGAAGGGTTTGTGTGTGTCCAGACCGGTCTACGCACGTGGATATATAGAATGTATAGGAGGAGATCGGATTCAGTACATTTGACATTAGTAGTAAAACCCCATTGGAATTCATGCGCAAACGTCCCCAGTGTGACGCAGACAAGAACATATATAAAACGAATCAAAAAGTGCAGGAAGTAACTGTCACTGTGAAAAATAAACTTAAAGCTTAATTTTTAAGTGCTTTAGATGTGTATGGATATGATTGAAATGAAGAGATAAGAGTTTTGCAGACCGCAGTGTTTGATGATGACCTTTAAGCATGACTTGTTGCGTTCTGGGTTCAATGTTTTTGTTAATCAAAATCGTGTTGTAGCTTTAAAATGATCTATAATGGCCATACCTGCATGCGAAAGCCAGATCCAGTCAGACCTCTGAAGCTGTGCAGGGCAGGGCCTGCTCAGTGCTGTGATGGGAACAGGTGCTACAGTGGGGCGGCTGTAAAGTGCCAAACTGTTGTTGTGTCCGTAGGCAAGGCACTTCACCCACATTAGAAAGAGTCTGGTGTATTTGTATATGGTTGGAGGTGGTCGGAGGGGCTGATGGAGCATACTATACTCATAACATACTCGATTTTGTATTATTATATAAAAATGTGTTATTGCTGCGTTCAGGGCTAAATGTTCATGGAAATGTAAATTGTGTGGGAGGTTTAACATGATTTATAACTTGCCATATGAGCACAGACTTTAATGTCCACTAGGGGGCCACATCATGACTTTTTGCAGACCCCTGGAACAGGACATAGCATCGACGACTCCACTTCCATGATCCTCAACTCCAGGTCTTAAAGTTCAACAGGGACCATTTTTTGTATAAGTCTCGAGTCTTCCACTTTTTATTCTGTACACAACATCACATTGTGCAAAGTTTAGGATTAAGCAAAGTCTGCGTGAACCCACAAAAGCAATCTTGTTTTGTTTCAGTCCACAGAGCTTTGGAGAGAAGCGTGGACTGAAAAAGGCGCGGGTTGGAGGTGAAATATCTTCGAGGCACACTCCAACAGGATTATTATTGCATGTTCTTCCTGTGTCTGCGTAGCTTTCCTCCGAGTACTCCGGTTTCCCCAACCACTAAAAACCTGTCCAATAGTTCAGGGTGAATGACTGTGTGTTTGTGAGTGCGAATGTGGGACCATGGATGGAAATTAACCCATGGCTACAATCCGGAGTGATGTGTTCATTAACATGTACTGGGCCAACCAAATAAACAATAAATAAATACACTCGTCACCCCACACGTGACCCACGCCTCAACCCACGCTTTAAAAAAATTCTCCCTACCTGTACATGATCACAAAGGAACCAATAATAACCAACAATACAAGCAGAATACAAGCAGCCCTTTTGATTACATTACAACCATCAGGGTCAATGCACCATGGGGTGACAATAGCTCAGTTGGTAGAGCATTGGCCTTTAGGCCTGGAGGTCGTGGGTTCAATTCCCACCCCAACACCCTCTCCACTGACTCCCACTGATGACTGCTGTTGTTGTGTCCTTGGGCAAGACACTTAACCCCTAATTGCCCAAAGCCCCCGCTGAAAGATCAAGGCTATGCTCACACTTACGGAGCAACTGTGCTCCTGTGGACTCACCACCTGCAGAGAATCAGTGAGGGGCGGGTGCTCTGTGACTTGGGTGGCATCTCTGACTGCCACCCCCCTGTCCCAGAAATGGATTAAGGGGTAGATAATGGATGGATGGATGGGTCAATGCACCATGAAATTTGGTTAAAAAAAATGAATTGTGAAAGAATCTGTTTCCCTTTTTCAAGTCCAGCTCAGAGGCTCTGTGTGAGGGTTGACTCCTTCCTCACAATGTAAGCTCTCTCTCCTGTCTGACTCCACCTGCACACCTTGATAACTCAGAACACACTTTGAAGACCCGGCCCGCTCAGAACATCACTACTTTGGCTGTTCTTGTACTCATAGAGACAGGTGTAAACGTGGCGGGAGCAGAAGGAGAGAGGTCTGAGGACATTTGTCGATGTCAGATTAACAGCGGGAGACATAACATAAGAAGGTTTCTCACCCATCATCTGTACGTAAGCTTGCAGGTTTTCCAACTTTGCGAGAGATGTCCTACTCTTGGGCACGCGGGTTCGAGAAAATCAAAAACGGGGAGACCTGCTAACGAAAGTGCGTCTGATGGGTGAGCAACTTTCCTTCGTTTTGACTAATCCCTGTACAACTGAGAGCTTACACAAATTTATCAGGAGACATGTCCACCCCTACTGTCTACAAACTCAACCCCCATCGTCTCCTGCCCTCTCAGACCGGGTCCTCACAGGTGCCCGAGGTCCTTGTCGTTCGTCAGTTTTCCGCTAATACCCCCAGTTCTTAATGACGTGCTAGCTTTGCCTGTTCGTGGTGGGGGTCATCATTAGCGTAGCGTGAGTCGGCCATGCTGTGTACAGAGGATGGATGTGCTCATTATCTGTGCTGCTGCCGTTGTTTGCCGAGTCGCTGCTTCTCATTAAAGGGAGTGTCTTTAAGTTAGAGTGCATCTCATGTTTCACCTGGTCCTGTGCGGCATCGCAAACTCAGAAGTGTGTGATTTAGGTTTGTGACGAGTTAAAGGTGATGCCTGCAACTTCAATTATAGTTTAATCCTTGGTCGTATGAGCCTGTGGTATCGTCTGTAATACATATGTTTTAATGGTAATTATATAGTGGGTCTTTCAATCAGCTGCAGTGGGTTAGAGGTGACAGGTTTCTTACACTGAAGACAAGAGGGAGGGACCGGAGAGAGAGCAGAGAGGGAGAGAGAGAGAGAGCAGAAAGACAGACCAGATAGAGAGCAGAGGGGGGTCAGAAATACCAGAGAGAGCAGAGAGAGAGACCAGAGATTGGACAGTGATGATTTAGGACACTCGACATTCAATTACATTTATAGACTTTAGTTTAGTTTAGTTTATTTGTTTATTTGAGCAATACACATTGTGCTCAAAAGGAGTGGGCTGAAGCAAAAAGCTTATGAGCCCCCACCCCCAAGTGCAATACATAAAAAAAGAACATTTCAAAACATTTCAAGCAGCTACATTCGTACAGACCAAATTACAACAAACAACAAAAATATATTAACTCTTCATATAATTAATTGGAACAACGCACAGCTACAACAACAATCTAGTTTCATATACGATGTCTAGAACAAAGCAAGTCAGAAAATGTGTTACTTAATATTGCTTGCAGATTTTTACCCGTGATTACAGAGTTACTTTTATGGTATAAAAGTACATTAATAGATATTATAATCTGAGATCTTGATACTTTCCAGTTGTCATTACCATTCTCAGTATAATTTTAATTTGGGTTTAATTATCATCATCATTATTATATATTTATTTATTGAGTTATATGAAGTATGATGAAAGCCCTGCACAGTGTGGTGCATTAAAAAGCCAGTAGACTTCTATCTACATTTATGCATACATATGGATGCACCGACACCGATGTTTAGCACAACAATTTGGCTGATGGCCGATGCTTGGCCAATGTTGTTTTTATTTTATTTATACGAATTTCTTGGTGGCCTTAGTATTTAGTTTTTCACTACACTAACAACATTGAATAGAATTAAATTAAATTAATGTAATTATGAGTCATTCATGGTGTCAATAAAACAAACTATAATACTGTGTACCTTTATGCTTCCTTCGAGTTTAAATCAACTTCTTTATTTAAAAGTCAGACGTATTGACCTTTCGAGTCGACCTCTGACATTCTTGGTTTGTCATTTTTTAATAGGCCGAGTACAGAGCGGAGGCAGCGTCTTAGCAGAATATAAATGTAGAACGATTTCGAATGGATTTGTCTCCTGTTCAGGACAGAGACACGCAGGAGTCTCTCACTGCAACCTTCACGGGATAAAGAGCTGAGATGGGACTGATTCTTTAGAACTGAATGAGGACTTAAAGCATAGCAGAGATGAAGAGAAGTACAATATAATGTGGTCCACAGCAGGAGGCTGGTGCTTCACCACTGCAAATGTTCAAGTGCACAGAGAAAGAGACCAGAGAGAGAGACCAGAGAGGGAGAGAGATTAGAGCGAGACTAGAGCGAGACTAGAAAGAGACTAGCGAGAGGCCAGAGAGGGACCAGAGAGAGAGAGTGTAAGACCAGAGAGACTAGGGAGAGGCCAGAGAGAGACCAGAGAAAGAGAGAGACACAAGGGAGAGACCAGAGAGAGACAAGAAAGAGGCCAGAGAGAGAGACCAGAGACCAACAAGAGGGAGAGACCAAGACATATCAGAGAGACAAACCAGAGAGACACCAGAAAGAGAAAAAAGACAAACCACTTAGACAGCAAAGGGTTGCAGGGTAATCATTGGCCTTGAAAAACAAGCTCTTTTAATCAATGGCGTTAACAAGTTCCCATTGCTCCTCTGCTCGGAGGAAGGCACGAGGAAGGAGAAGAGTAAGGAGAGGAGGAAAGAGATGAGGAAGAAAGAGGAGAGGAGGAAGGAGAGGAGGAAGGAGGGGAGGAAGGAGAGGAGGGAGGAGAGGAGGGAGGAGAAAAGGAAGGAGAGTAGGAAGGAGAGGAGAAAGGAGAGGAGGGAGGAGAAAAGGAAGGAGAGGTGGGAGGAGAGTAGGGAGGAGAGGAGGGAGGAGAGGAGGGAGGAGAAAAGGAAGGAGAGTAGGAAGAATGGGAGGAAGGAGGGGAAGAAGAAGAGGAGGAAGGAGAGGAGGAAGAATGGGAGGATCCATCCATGGTCAAGGAGACGCCAGCCCCAGTCGACAGTGGAGCTGGAGGGTTTGTAAAGGAGTCAATTAAGAAGAGTATGTACGTACAATATGTCTGTATTAATGTTACCACGACAACGTAATGATCCTACTCAATACATGAGGCAATTACAGTGTTTGACCATGTAATGTCCATAACAGATGGTCTGGAGCCTGACTGACTGGGGAGGGGGATGAAGGCTCTGATGGTACACACAGGTGGGAGGAGGGCTGCACATTGTATACATTATGCCAAGCAAGTTACATTTATTTGTATAGCACATTTTATACAGAATGCAACGAGTGAAGACTAAATCCTTCAGTTGTATGCGCAGCTAAACAGAACTGTGCTTAATCTGGATTTGAACATTGCCAGAGAAGAAGCCTGTCTAACATTTTCAAAACTATTCCAGATTATAGCTGCATTAATCTGAAATGCGGCCTTCCCATGTATAGGGCAGACTCTGGGCACCAGCAGGAGGCCAGTCCCTGTGCTCCTCAGAGTCCCAGCAGGAGGCCAGTCCCTGTGCTCCTCAGAGTTGGTTCATATGTCACTAACATGTCACAGATGTACTTTGGTGCGAGGCCATGGAGAGACTTGTTCACATGTGCTTTAAAGTCTATTCTTTGAGCCACAGAAGCCAGCGCAGAGACCTGAGACCAGGACTAATGCGAGGGCAATTCCTGGTTCTAGTCTGGACTCAATCTGCGGCATTTTTAATCAACTGCAGCAGAACAGTTCATTCTTTAAAAGCACCTTCATCCGTCAAAATGAGGTGAAGAGCAGGTGAAATCTCAGTGGGACTATGACTTCCTGGTTGAATAACAGCTCAGTCCTTGTCCCTGGAGACAGACAGGTGTTGTTCAGAATCCTGGTGCATGTGAGTGGAATGTTTCGGATCTTCTCTGAGAGTCTTGGCCTGTTTTCCCACAACAGAGCTGCCCCCTCATTAGCATGGCTCGGCTGCGGGGCATATATAAAGCATGAGGCTGTAATTAGTTGGTTCAGAAGTGGGGCAGCTGACTCCACGCCAGGCCCCAGCGTCTTCCACTCGGTCTCTGGCCAAGTCTCACCAACGATCTGCTGATTCTGTGAATAATGGAGGACAGAAACAGAGCGGCTGCTATTTTAATGCATTTGATGAGTCTCGATCCTAGACTTTTAAGTGAGAAGAGAATGTTTGTATTTACTTTGACTTCTTCTGTATGTTAGATTTAATTGGAAAAAAAATACAGGCAAAATATTCATCCTTTTCTGTCATTACTTCATGTTTTGTTATTGTTTTTCTTCCATATTTTCATTAAAAGGATTGGTAAATATACGACAGGACAGTTCAACTTCATGATTCAAATATTATTTTTTGATATTGGGGCGACAGTGGGTCAGTTGGTAGAGCATTGGTCATGGGTTCGATCCCCGCATGAGATCGGCTCCCACTGATGTCTGCTGTCGTTGTGTCCCCGGGCAAGACGCTTAACCCCACTTTGCCTGAAGCCCCCGCTGAAAGACCAAGGCTGTGTCATCGCTGCCGGAGGATCAGCGAGGGGCCGGTGCTGTGGGCGTTGGGTTGAAGCTGTGATTGTCATCCCCTCGACCCAGACATGGATTTTAAAGGGGATGTTAATGAATAAATGAATGGTGTTTTTTCCATCACAAATGACACTAAAGACACACGCCATAACCAACGCCAAAATCTTTCACTTTCACAAGGTTGAGGATAAGTAAAAAAGATAATCAACTTTCCAACTAAGAACTTTGAATAAGGTGAATTTCTTGCACAAAGCCGAATGGAAAAAGAAGTCCAATCACAGGTGGATTACTGCATCTCTCTCACTTTGGCCTTGACCAGACACTCCATGAATTGTGACCAAAGCGGCAGGAGCACATCACTCCTGTCCTGGCATCCCTGGACTGGCTACTTGCAGTATTTAGAATAAAATTTAAGATATTAGTTTATCTCTTGTCTTCTCAGTTGAATGAAGTTGTTTGGTTCTTCTGTACCAGACAATTGGAAGATAGCAATGTTATTACCTTTCTGCGGCGCGCCTTTGTCTTCTCCGATCTTTCTTCATAACTTACTTTGAACAGGAGAAGCTGGAGAAATGCGCCAAAAAAGATAATAACGTCGCTATTTTACAATAGTCCGTTATAGAAGAACCAAACAAACTTTGATTCATGATATTGTTGTTGGTTTTTAAGTCTTTGCCTGACCGTGAAAAGAAGACATTACACAATACTGATAGCATACGTCCTTCTAATGATACAGACACATCTGAGAACGAAAATAGCAAAGTTAAGACATATTTAGTCTTAGTGAACTTCCTACTGCAAAGAGAAATGCAGATATCCCTCCATCTTTGCAAAGAATCATGTACAGAAGGTAAGTATTTAGGCCAAAAAAGTCGATATGGTATTTACAAATGAAACTCTGAAAATTAGTTGTTTTATGGTAATTTTTTTCTGTAACTCAACATACAATGTGAAACTAAAATTCATGATTTTTGATTTATGATTGTGCACTTACTCTATGGACTCTGGGGAGCACAGGGACTGGCCTCATGCTTGTGACTCTGGGGAGCACAGGGACTGGCCTCATGCTTGTGACTCTGGGGAGCACAGGGACTGGCCTCATGCTTGTGACTCTGGGAAGCACAGGGACTGGCCTCATACTGGTAACTCTTGGAAGCACAGGGACTGGCCTCCTGCTGGTGACTCTGGGAAGCACAGGGACTGGCCTCCTGCTGGTGACTCTGGGAAGCACAGGGACTGGCCTCCTGCTGGTAACTTTTGGAAGCACAGGGACTGGCCTCCTGCTGGGACTCTGGGGAGCACAGGGACTGGCCTCCTGCTGGTGACTCTGGGAAGCACAGGGACTGGCCTCCTGCTGGTAACTCTTGGAAGCACAGGGACTGGCCTCCTGCTGGGACTCTGGGGAGCACAGGGACTGGCCTCCTGCTGGGACTCTGGGGAGCACAGGGACTGGCTTCCTGCTGGTTCCTGTGTCAGGACTAAACATGGGGAGGCAGCGTTTCAGATTTTTGCAGCTTAAATCTAGAACAGTCTTCCTGAAAATGTGAGACAGACTTCTTCTCTGACAATGTTCAAATCCAGGTTAAAAACAGTTTAGCTGCATACAACAGACCTTAATCATAACATGTTAATGCCTTTTGTGTTTGTTTCTATCTTGTTTTGTTCAGTAAGTTGAGTTTGCCTTGTGTAAGAACTAGGGATGTAAATCGGCGACCGTTTAACCGGTGGTTGACCGTCACAGCGTTAACCGGGCAAAGCTGTCGGTTAAAAAAGAGAAAAAGGGGAGAGGGGAGGTCTCTTAATAACGCTATTTTAAGCCCTATTTGCACGGTGTGACGAGCGGGTCTGTATCTAGCTGTATGCGCCCATGTATTAAAAACTCCGGGACGACTCTCACGCCGCACGAGCCACATATGCACACACGCACGCGCGCACACACACACACACACACACACACACACACACACACACACACACACACACACTTTCCCCCTCTCCATACGTAACATCCACAAGCATCATCTCTCCCCTCTGTTACCGTCAAAGTTGCACACTGGCGCGGGTCAGAACTACATTGGAGCTTACATTTACAAACACACACATATACATACACACACACATACATACACACACACATACATACACACACACATACCGGTCTGTCGCGCTCCTCTGTGTCACGGAGCCCAAAGGATTCGCGCAGATACGCGGCTCCAGTCAAACCACATGGAACATGTTTGTGTTTATGGTCCTCGGGATCAGCTCCACACACATCACTTGTATTTAAACTTTTGTGAAGACCTGTGAGACGCGTCACTCGCTGCTCTGACCATGTGAACGAGCCGTCGTTTGCTGCTAGAAAGTTTTGGTATTAACCCGCAGCACAGCAAAATGGGAAGATTAAAAAAGCAGTTCTCTCTGCGCAAAGGTGCCGGAGCTGTTGCGGGTTTGGGCGCCGCTGTCTCAGCTCTGATCCTGTAGAACGCTCAGCCGCACTTATGAAAAGTACGCGGCTCAAAATTGCTGTTATTTCAAAGAGCGTGGACTATTTTAAACTACGGGGTTAACCGGTTTCAACCGGTTAATGAGGCTCGGTGGTCGGTCATGAAAATTCATAGTTTTTTACATCCCTAGTAAGAACTGTGGTATACAAATAAACTTACCTTGCTTTAGAAATAAAGTAATTAAGTAAAGAAGCAAGATTTTCTCCACACAACAAAACAGTTACTCTTAATTGACTTGAATTAAGTCCAATTAACTTACTTGGACTTAATTCAAGTCAATTAAGAGTAACTGTTTTGTTGCACTTAATTGACGTCGTGAGAAGTCGACAAATATAAAGTCGCTTCTTCTGTTTTCACTCAATTAAATCAAACATGCACGAAAAACACACATTTCTCAGAGTGTGTGTGTGTGTGTACGTGTGTGTGCGTGTGTGTGCGTGTGTGTGCGTGTGTGTGTGTGCGTGTGTGTGCGTGCGTGTGTGTGTGTGTGTGCGTGTGTGTGTGCGTATGTGTGTGCGTATGTGTGCGTGTGTGTGGCTTTCAGTCCATTTGTACAATATTCCACATTTATGAGTTGTGTGATTTGTGGTACAGCTGGGAGTCCATTTTCAGCCCGATCACAAAGGTTTGATGTCTCACTTTGTCCGTAATGAGTCGTGTTTGTTTCTCACTGTGAGTTTAAAACAGAAGTAAATGGACTTTTTAACAATGTCCAATTTTCAGAGTTCTTTGAAATATTGCTCTGTTTTACCCATCTTTCGTTTTTTTTTTTTTTTTTTATGTTTATGCCACAGGTTGAGCTTTGAGGTGAACTCCTTAATGTTTTTCAGGTCAGTGGGCAGCGAGTTCCACAGTTTGGCCGTTTTTATGGAGAACGCAGACTGACCAAACGTGGTTCTCCCGTGTGGAATTGCACAGTTGTTGTGGGAGGAACTTCTGGTGACTCTGTTGCTGGTCTGTCTCTGTATAAATGAACTTAGTGGCTCTGGTGCCAGGTTATTGAT